TATATGCACAAGAAAGTTACCAAATAACCAGGAACACATGCTGAGCTACAATACAGCAGTGTATGAATGAGTATTTCTGGAAGTGAATATTTGGAGATCTACCATGAGGCCATTACAACCTCATGAAACACAGACTTTTACTTTAGACAGATTTAGTTTGAACTCTAACTCTCTGTCTATATGACCTTGGGAAAACCACTTAATTTCTCTGTGACTTTTTTTAAGATCTATAAATTAAGGTAATTTGAAAATAGTCTACTTTAAAAGGTGGTTGTGAAGTTAAGATTGCATACTTACTTATGTGCTTAATATGTCATCTATGTATCAGTCTTACCTATAAACTCCAGCATTTGATATGTAGTAAATTTCTACAATATAAATATTTTATCAATTGTAAGCTAGGAGTTTGGAAAGGAGCTGTTGGCCAGGATATTTACCCTCTCCATAAAGCCTTTGTGATCTTGTAGTCAGTCAGGCAAATGCTTCATGACAACTTCCATCTGGGATCTAACACCTCAGGCATGGTATCCAACAGGACCGTACAGTTAAGTGTAGCACCAAATATATTTTTGCTTACTAGCTTTTCAGATTCTTAGTGAAAATTCTTGCGTTTTTTTTTTTTTTGGTTAAATCTTTAATCATTGCAGACTTTTGGGTTTCATTGGTCAAATCTTTAATCAGTGGGGGCCGTTGGTTTCTACTGGCCAAATCTTTATAAGATGATTTTTGTCTTTTAAGAAGCTCTCAACTTTTTGGCTGTGTCCAGTTCATAAGCATTTTTAAGCCATTTGCTTTGCATCTAAACCACATGGTTATACTGTTTTCCATGCACCATAATCTCTAACCCAAAGCAGGGCACGTGGGTTTGGTGATAGTGAGTGAGCCATCCAATGACCGTTTGGTGACAGTGTCAGCCACTGCCATTTTCAAACTGCTGGCCAACTAGAGCAGGAAGTGCAGTTTGGGTAGGTGGGAAGAGGTTAGACAGGAAGGAAGCTGAGCGGTGTATTGTAACTATCAGATCTCTAATTGTATATATCTGGCCTGCCTCAGTGAATGGCAAGCCAGTGTGCAGTTTGCTTCGATGGGAATGTCAGGTTGACTGTAGCCATCCTTGAAAATGCTTCAGTGGTGGCAACTTTCTTGTATGAATTTTTCATCTTGATTGATGCACAGTGATGTACAGTTCACTTCTAAAAGCTAGTGGCTAACTTTAGTAGGATATGTTTGCATTTGGACACTAAAATAATGAACTTCTGTGTGCATTTTTCTATGCTTTATTTTATTTTTTTCCTCACTGAGTTTATTGGTACATTTTAGGTATACAGTACAGTTACATTCATCATTGGGATCTTGTACCTTTACATGATAGGTCTTGGTTCTCATTTTTCCCTTTACCCCTGCCCTCCCTTTACCCCCTCCTCCCTTCCCTATTTACAAAAACTTTATTTCAATTTTTTCATGTTCTCATTTTTTTTCCCTTATTTCCTTTCCCCCACCCTTCCCACTTCCCTACACCTTTAGCCCTTTTCTTCCTATTACACATTGTCAATTGTACTATTAGGAACTTATTTACAATTATAATTTTTCACACCGGAGAAACTATTCGGTATTTCTATGCTTTATTTTTTTAGCTTAGTCTCATTTTATTTTTATGGGATGTTGGGCTTGTTTGTAAAATCTAAGGATGGTTATAAATACTTTAAAGTATTATAATGTTATGAATGCAGGTTATTTGAAAGCGGTTTATTATTCTATTATTCCTGATAATGCTATGTGTTTTTAACAAAATTTATATTTATTTAATGCAAGAATATATAAATATTTTATCACTATTTGTGTACACTGGGAAAGCCTCCTAGAGAAGATATGACTTAGGCTGAACTACGAAGGATAAGGGAGACTTTTATGGATGAGAAAGGGAGTATTAGAGAGATTGAATTAGAAAAGTGGAAATTCAACTGTTAGTACTTTTCTTTCTCTCTCATATACCTCCAAAATGTAAAGTGCTTTTAGTTCAGGAAGGTTAAGGAAATGTAAGAGAATGTATGAAATGTTTTTTCTAATATGACTGGTAATATATTTAAAGATAGCTTCAGTTGTGGTCTAGCACTTTTAATGAGAGCAATAGTCATCAGAAAATGGATCTCAATAGAATTAGTATATCTTTTTTTTTTTTAGAAAAAATCCATAGTGTTTAAGGAGCACTTAGATATTTTAGACTGACCTGCTATGAAATAAAGTGCTGAAGTTGAGTCACAGTGTCATAGGCCGGATGACTTAGCTAACCTATTTCCTTAGGTCTCTACCCAAGACTTCAGTAAGTCCTAAATCTGATTGCAAGACAAAATCTCATGAGGAAGCATGAACTTTGCCCATGTAACCTGGAGTTCCTAGGGCAAAATCATCCACGCTCTTCCTCTGAAGGATGGTTCTGACAGTGTAGGGACGTCTTCCTATTATTTTCCTCAAGGGACAAAGGATAGTGTTTCATATTTTAGATATAACATGAGGCTTCTGTGAGATGACTAGGGCTCTGGGGTCAGAAAGTCATATGCTACAGGATAACAGAGCATAGGGTTTGGACCAGCATGGGTAATTCCTGTTTCATCATGTTTCCACTCTGATGTCAGTGACTGAGGCAGATGGTAGACTGGAGTGCTTTACGGGAACCATCTATGCATCAGATTTCCGTATGAGATAACAGAGCACATGGATTTGTTCAGGGTGGAGAGGTTTTCAGAAACGCAAGACTTTGACACTAGAACTGAGACTTTTGGGCCACTGGTCAGTGATGGTGATCCACTACCTCTGTGTTCTTGGACAAGTCACCAAATCTTTTGTGCCTCAGTGTCTCTTTCCATAAAATTGAAATTGTAACATTACCCACTTCTTAGGTTTGTCGTCCAATATATTTTGACAAAACCCAAAACATGAAAAGCGCTAATTGTAGGAAGGGTCCCCCTAGTTAGGGAAAGGATAGGATGATGGCCTCCTTGAGCTTTGTTAGAAGATGACAGAGGGAATTACTTAGGGCAGGGCCCTATGCCTCTGCCGATTAGGGTCAAGCAATCAGAAAGAGAAAGGAAAAAAAAAAAGCTAGGCTCAGGGAGGCCCCAAGTAGCACGATCAATATAACCCCTACATTAATACTTAAGCCTAGGGCCAGGGATTTAGCTCAGTTGTTCCACCACCTGCCTTGCAAGATTCCAAGTTCAATCCCTGATAAAAAAATAAATAATTACTTGTCCCTAAGCTCCCACCCATAATCATAGCCATGAAGCCAATCAAATTTCAGCAGCCTAAATGGGACAAGATATTAATAAAAAGGGAATAGGATAAAATAAAGTAAAATTTATTTTTAACCCCCCCAAAACAAAACAAAAACAAAATGGAAGCATACTTATATACACTCATACATTCCAACAAAATACATTTTCACTTTCCCAAAGCAGAAGGTATTTGAAAGAAAAAGGAGCTGCGTATAAGAATCTAGCATTATTTCCCTTTTGAATACTCCCTACCCATCCAGCGTAGTTCTGCCTCTCTCCTTTCCTCACCTCCAAATAAACTGTCTTCTTTTATTTTAAATTCTACTTGTTTGTTTCTTTTACTGACACTGGGTTTCAGATTGCTGGGAGCTGCATGTCCAGCAGAGCAGTGGCGTGACCTGGCATGTGGCGTGGTATGGTGTACACCCACCTCCAGACTGCTGTGACAAGGTTCCCTAATGGACTTAAAATGGTATATAGGTATTTGCCTTCAATATTAGAGGCTAGCTAGCAATCTTAAATCAATTTACTGGGCCAAAATCAAGGTGTTGACCGGGATGCATTACAATGGATGCTCTTTTGAGTAATATGTTTTTGCTTCTTTCAGCTTCTACTGGCTGTTGGTATTCCTTGGTCTATGGCTGAGTCACTCCTATTGCAGCCTTCACACTACTTTCTCCTCTTCTGCTCATGGTAAAATATTTCTTAGTGTCTCTTTTAGTATCTCTTGATTACATTCAAGGTCCACAGTCCAAGATAATCTCCCAGTCTTGAAAGACTTAGTCTGCATCTGCAAAAAAACTTTTTCCAGATAATACAGGCTTCTGTGCTTATGATCTGGTAGGTTTTTGGGTCCTCACTCAGTATAACAGTGTAATATTAAAATAACTTTCTTCTCTTTATCCCTTTCTCATTTATGTAGTAGACACAAATATCAATCTCACAGTCTTGAGGTCTAATCAAGTATGAGTTCTGTAAACAGTAGATGCTCACAGCAGGCTGAACTTTTTTATGTATTCTTTTCTCTGTCTCCACTATAACATACACATTCTCACATATTCTATAATGAAAGGGAGTGAAACAAATTTATATGCATTAGCACTTAAAGTTAAGGTTTCTCTTTGATTGTGGCGTAGATGTTTATGCTGCTTGTTAAGGCCACTGCAATACAGGCATTGTTTTAAAAAATAAATTTTTCAAAGCCCTGTGGTTGCTTGACCCAGTGCTGAGGAATTATTTCTCATTCCACTCCATACAGCCACATATTTCTTCTTTTGGAAGGCTTTCTAGCATGTTCTTGGAAGACTACTTAGAGAAGGAAGGAGGCCAAATGTTTTACTTTTCAATGACCTTGAGTTTACAAGGTGTCATAAAGGAGTGAACAGAGTGATTGACTAGCTGTGAAAGCCTATGCAGCAGAGTCTACCGAGTGAGTTAATTTTCCAAAGACCCCCTCGTTTTTCTGCTTTGGAAGACTATAATAGATATCTTTGTTGTCTTCATAACATCCATCCTCTCTCTGTCCACTCCAGTGATGATGAGTTAGTTTCTTAGGACTACAGAGCAGTATACATTGAATGTCTTAACACAACAGCAATTTATTGTCTCAGTTCTGGATACTAGAAGTCTGAAATGAAGGTGTTAGCAGGGCCATATTTCTGCCGCAACCTGCAAGGTAGAATCCCCTTCGTCTTTTCCTATCTTCTAGCTTATTGAGCCAATCCTTGGTATATTTTATGTTGCAGATGCATCACTTCAGTGTTTACCTCTGTTGCTATATGGCTATCTCTGTGTCTGTGTCTAAATTTGCCTTTTATTATGAGGAAATAGGGTTTAACTTAATTAGGGTTTAACTTCATAAATGCATCTTAATTTCATTACATATGCAAAAAACATTTCTAATTGAGGTCATATTTATAGGTAGTGGGTTTTAGACTATAAATACATCCTTTTGGGGAGATAAAACTTTTATTTATTTATTTAGAGAAACTATCATATTGTTATTCTCAGTGTAAGTTTTGAACAATATTTAACTGATCTCGTTTTCAATCCTGAGGAAGGACTATGACTGATTTAGCCTGAGACTCCTGTCTGCCTTCTTGGCTACTCTGCTTGCTGATGGGTATACATGAATTTCAGTCAAGACTATTGAAACAAGGACTCTTCATAAAAATCTGTTTATGTATTTATCTGGAAACCCAATATCGAATGAAGATTTAAAGACATTGAACTATGATTATGGGCTTCTGAAAATGGATAAATCCCATTGAAGAGGGCTTCATTTGTAGAGAGGACATGAATACATATAGCGAAATATGCCTTGCTAATGTGGTCCTGGCTGGTCAGAAACTGAAACCACCCCAATCTTTAGGCTTTTCTGTTATCTGTGTTAAAGAAAAGAATTCCAATTGATCCACTATATTAGATTACATGTTCTTCCAATATAAGTATCATAAGTGTGCAAGGGTAGAGTTGGAGAGAAGCCCTTATACTTTATACCTATGGCAGGTATATGAGAAATAGAAACAACTAAAATTTATTAAATGTTTACTATGTATACATCTTGGCCTATGTTTGTATTAGGTCATTTAATTGCTACAACAACCCTAAAAATATTATATCTACTATATGTTATATATATATTATATCTACTATATATTATATATGTACTATATATATATTATATCTATTTTTACTGAATTTAGCCAGTGTGGAAGTGGCACAATGGTAATTCACACTCTACATATCACCTCCAGTTCATTCTCTCAGCCACTATTTAATATTGTATCCATTTTTGCTATCAAGGCTTGTACAGAAGCAGCTTTGAGAAAGCACACCAAATATTTTTTGTTGTTGTTTTTTGAGACAGGGTCTCACCATGTAGTTGAGACTGACCTGGAATTCACTACGAGGCCAGGCAGGTCTCGAACTCACAGCAATCCTCCTGACTCAGCCTCCTGAGTGCTGGGATTACAGGCGTGTGCCACCAAGCCTGGCTCACACCAAATATTTTGTATACATACCATAGGAGAGTCATTAATGCTGCCAGCCTACACTTTCCATATTAATTGAAAATTAATATATAGCAATTTAAAATAGTACTCATTTATTGTCTTATACTTTAGGTGAATTTGGAGTACCAACAGGGTCTATGCAGTGTCTCAAAGAAATAAAATTGAATTTTTGGCTGGGCTGAGTTTCTGCATTTTTTTTTCTGAATCTTGAAATTAACTTTGAAATTCATATGAATGTTAGAATTTAGCTCCTAGAGGCTGTTGACTGATCGCAATCATGTGGCATTTTCCACAGCATGCCAACTTACTACTGCAGTTGAATCAGGAGTGACATTCCCGTCATCTCTGCCATATAACACAATTTAGTAAAGTGAGAGGTTGTCCATGATTTCACAAGTCTCCTTCACATTTAATGAAGAAAGAATTATGCAGGACACATGTACATTGAGGTAGACTTCTTGGAGCCATCTTAGATTTCAGGCCTTTACTTCCCACTACCGTCCATAATGCAAATGGGCTTAGGTAGAGGAAGCGTGACTAGATTTGTCAATGACTTCCCAAAAGAACAAAACAGAAATTTTCCATTCTTCATTGAGATGAGATGAGTGTGTGTGTGTGTGTGTGTGTGTGTGTGTGTGTGTGTGTGGTGGTGGTGTGGGGGATATGGCATCCCTACAGAACACTGTAAGAGTAAAAGATCTGGAGATGGTTGAGAATTTCTGGATTGGAAAAAGACCTCAAGCGTCAAGGTCACCCCCAACTTGAAAGTATTACCTACACGGATGTGGTTAAATTGGGCAGAAACCACCTTGCAAAATGGTTATTACAATTTGTTACAGTTCATTAAGACTGTTTTGTGAGTAACTCTATTAATGTCTCTGAATCGCCATTGCTTGTGGGGTCAGCCCTTCTAAATATAGCCTGCTGTAGAAACAAATCTTTTGCTGAAAATCTATTTGGAGTACAAGTACTTAAGCTCAACCTAAATTTATTAGCCTCAATTGAAAGAGGATTCTTAATTCTAAATCTGTTTAAAATGAGTATTAGTTAAAATAGGTTTGTTTTTCATTAAAACAGCAATTCCATGAAAGACTAACCCTAAATTACCTTTTTTATTAAGCTAGAATTTGCCTAGGAGAATGAGAGGTAAATAAGCACACTGCATTATTGAACAATTTTTATCTTTTGCTTATATTAAGTAAGCGCAGCAAGACTATCATTATTGCAAAGAAATTCACATTATTCTATTGTTAGCTTCAGGCTTAGAAATGAAAAACAATGTAAGCATTTTAGTTGTGATGTTTAAAGCTAAAACATATGATATATAACTGAAAAAACTGGTCATTTAGAGTTTTTTAAATTATTAACTGCAGTCATTTTTCTCTCTTTTATTCTATTTTGAGAAAACCTAAGAAGTGGGGGAGTTTGATTTTGTGCTGAAGTTATAAAATTAGTATTGATCATTTTGAGTGGACTTAATCTATTGAAATGTAATTTCAGATATTCGGTAATCATACCTACGTATTCTGCTGACATTCTTTCTTGATACTGGTTACACTAATGTAAATTTAAGGCTCTGTGTCTGCCACCCTCATTTTGCCTTCTCATTTTATTCTCTGTATTAAGGCTCTGGTTTTTCACCCATTCTAACTGACTGTAGTAGCTTGTTTAGAGGACCCAATTACCTCTTGCTTCTCTGAGTCTTCCTGGGCCCTATGAGAGAGCTGTTATTAGCATATCAGAATTGTGATAAATGGAAACAGCCTTTTGATACACCTACCCCCACCAGTCAGCTTTCCCGTCTCTGAGACACAATACCCAACACCCATGACTTAAGGGAAGAGACTTTAATTTGTCTCACAGATTCATAGGATTCAGTTCATCCCTGGCAACCTCCAAGGTAGAAACAGCACAACAGAGGGGTGAGGAGAACACAGATGCTTAATTCATAGCGGTAAGGTAGCAGAACAAGGGAACAGTGGCAGAGAGGAAGGGGCTAGGGATAATATTACAACACGCTCAGACACATTCAGAAAGAAGTGTGCTTTACCAATGCTTTGGGAACCTCCCAAGTAAATCAAGTTGACACAATCATACTCATCGCACTCCATCAACACACTTGTAGGCGGATCTCTAAAGCCCAAAATGCATGGCAGATACCAGAATTTTCTCCACTTGTTGTAGACCTTATTTCCACTGAACCCACCCTTGTTAATATTTTCACTTTTGTGATTAAAAATTTGAACCTATTTCTGATCCTTCTCTGTCTCAGTGATTATGTTTGATCAGCTCTCAGTGTTTAAAGTACTTGTTTCACTTAACTCATAACAAGCTGGTTGCCTGAGGTAGGAACGTGTTCTATTTTGTTCCATGGAAATAACAGCAACAACAGGCAAGGGCAGACCCAGTCCTTAAAAGAAGGGAGAACAGAGGGCATACAATAGGAAAGATGGTTTGGGTGATGCTATTCCCAAGTTAGGTAATACAGTTCAAATATCTACTTATCTAATTCCTTATGGGACACACTGTAATTTCTTAGAAATTAAAGTCATTCTTTGGACATGTTTAATTAAGGACATTTAATACTAGAAAAATATCTTTTTATTATCAGTGAGAGCTGTACTACTAGTTATAGAAATTTTTATAATTTAAGACTACATGACAAATAACTCTAATGATCAAATTCTAAGCATTAACTGATTTGAAGGTAATCCTGGTCACTGCATAATTTAGATTAGACTCGCTGGAAACAGTCTCAAAGATTATGCAAAAAGAAGATTTATTAGGGTCTGCTTTTGCAGGATGTATCTGCAAAACTGAGCAGAGGAAGAAGGTGACCCATAAAGAAGTAACTAATTAGGCATCAGCCAATCTTATATTGAGTGAACTCTGAAGTCAGGATAGCTTTTCATATTTGTCCCAAATTAAGGCAAAGAATAAGGACCTTGTATCTCCAATCTAGTAAACTATCTTGGTATTTATTTATTCATTTGAACTGGTGCTCGAACTCAGGATCGTGCACTTGTGAGGCAGGTGGTGGAACCACTGAGCTAAATCACCCCTCCCCCCCTTGCGTCTCCATTTAATCTAGTCATTTGCTTTTTTGGTAAAGCACCACAGTAGCTACTACAATACACTTTCACATAAAAAATAGAGCACAGATTACTGTAAAGTAATAATTTACCTATAATTGAACAGAAACTGAACATATTAAATTGTGTATTACTAACTATTGTTCAGAGCGTATGACATTCTGACTGTGGTCAGTGTCTCGGAAGAAAAGAGGATTTACCGACTGTTCAGGTGAGGAAATTTCTATTAAATTACTGCTACAGTGATATGAACAGGTCAGGGCACAAATAGAATTAGTATGTAGGCAGAGACTTAAAGATGTTAAATGTAGTTAATTCTCTTGGGGTTCAAATTGACACGGGGTGGAAGGAGAGTTACAAAAGCCCAAAGTGAGCTGGACTCAGAGGAAAGTCTATGCAGCAGGAGCTACGGGCTAGGAGATGTTCATCTAGGGACAGAAGTGATGTCCAACCCCTTGTTTACGTGCTGGTGCCTCCTCAAAGACCCACCTGACAGGAAGCTCACTGAATGAATCTGAAACAGGCAGTGCATAAGGATCAGTCTCACAAGGCAAAGAGCAAAGAATGGAGACATGGCAAATGGAGAATAATGAGCATAGCTCCCAAACAAAACAGTGTGCACTTCTACCCATAAAGTAAGCCCCTTCCTCTAACCGCCAGGCAGATAACCTCTAAGTAAAACACTTAATAAAGAGACTATCAGCTGAGAATCCTCCCTCTCAAGGCAGGCGAACTGCATCTGCTCATTTTTATTCCTCTTTAGAATAAGCCTAATGAAATGTTGAAAGAAAAAAAAAGTATTTTTAATTGCTAATTCTATGTTGTAACTACCAGTCCATTTTACTTGTTGGACAGGTGCCATACAAAAAAAAAAAAAAAAATGCTGTTTTTGAGAACGTGGCAATTAGAGATACTAGAGGAGACACCAGGAGAATAGCTGTAAGAAATAATTATTACTGAGCATTCAATGTGGTGTATGTGGCTTTTGCAGTATAATACCCATTAAATGATAGTCATGTGGGTAAACCTAATGCATATTTTTTCCAAATTTACCTCCTAACAGAGAAATTACCATTATAATTCTGAATGACATTATTGTAGCTATTAGTCTTTGTGTACATAATGCCCCATCCATGATGTTTACAATTTTTTCCTTGGTGTTTCTTTGAAAAGTGGCACAATTACGATATTTTCATTATGCCATGGCTTACACAGATAATTGAACAAATAAATATGTTCTTACATTCATTTTAAATGTTCCTAATATTTATGTAACTTCCTCATCTTTAGAAGAATAAAGCCATACCAAATACCTATGATTTTTTCTTTCTTCAAGAAAGGAATCACTTGAAAAATTAATAGAATTCACCAATTTAAGGTATAATCAATTATCATATTTCAATAGCATAATTAGATATTAAAAAGTAATACTAAAATAATTACAACTTTCTCATGAGAGTGGTAGTAACTATACT